AACAGCTACAGCAACGTCTCAGTAAGTGTGGAGTGAAGTGTTTTATTGGAAGAATGTGCCGTGGGCAGGATGGAGATGTAACAAATGGTATCAGAATAAACCTAATCCAGACACATTCAGAGGTATTTATTAGAGACCTACATTCCATATGTCTTCAGGAAGAAACAGATTAACTTGTTGTTATTGGAAGATATGCTTTCCCATACAGTCGCGTTTAGGACTGATCTATCGATGCTTCTTAAAGAGAATGAATTTTGCGTCTCAAAGTCCAGATTCAAACGGTAGAGCCCCACATGCGCATTCCCTATCTTTGAGAAGAAGTAAGCCGTCAGGAGAACCTAAGAAGCCCCGCTGTGCAACGAAAAAAAGGAACTGATAAGCAGGAGAGAGAGGCTAATCAATGTAAAGTTGAAACACGAAAGATAACTTTGCCTCGATTTCATTCACTGGACCCAGTTTGTTTTGTTTTGGTTCAAATGCATATTGAGTGTGGAGCACTGATTTACTTTTTTCTTCCATAGTGCCACGGGCTCTAGTCAGCAGTGCTGCTTTAACAGGTTTGGCAACTTAATGGTGGGCCAACCAGATGCAGGGTCCCTTGACCGCGTTCATCCTAATGCTTGTCTCCCTTTGATATCCCATTTCTTTCGTGATAAGGCGCTATGGGAAGACTACTGCCGCAACTCTGGGAATTGTGGAAGTACTTTGAGGAGCGGCCTTCAGACGACGGCTCAAGATATCAAGCACCGAGACCCGGTAATTGTGAACCACTTAATAAGTGTTATGCGACATGTGGGTGACACGATAGCTCATGGCCATGGGTTGGAGTGGATAAAATATGGTCGCTCAAATTCACAATCGAAAACGAAAAATATACGAAAAGGCTGAACACGCGCTGAGAAAAGGCGCTGGTGGGTTACTCTCCTGTGTGACAATGCCACCTAGTTAAAATGTTACAGTATTTCCGAGTGAAGTCAAATTCGCTCTATAAACATTTGGGTAAACGTAACGCGGTAGTACGATTTGTTAATAGCGAGTCCGTTTGCAGACAGATCTGTACGACAAAAAAAACCCTCTTACCCATCAACAAAACTATGGAAAAAGTTGAAGAGACAAATACTTAAATGTTATTGAGTTATTCATAGTAGTTTGATCGATAACAGACCGCAGAAATGACATGAGAGTGGCGAGTAAAAACTATCCTTTTACACCGTTCAGTTACTGTCCAATTACAAGCGCAGCTCAAAAGTTGTCATAAACTAGACAAAGCGCGCTGCTAAATGCCAATCTACATAGGTCTAAGTATAGACATGATACTGTATTTTGTACTAAAATGGGTGTATGGAACGCCAGTGTCCCTAACTGTTTCAGAGGTACAAATAATAATCACTTTACATAATAATAATATATTGCCTATTAATTGTTGTAGAGGTAACAAGCAGTTCTTTGATATTAAGCATATATTTTGCGCTCTTCGACCTCTTGGTAATTTTGGCTTTTGTCGCATGAAATTGCATATTCCCCCTTCTGGTCATGGACCCAGATTGATCTTAGTCCGATTGTGTGGCTTCACATCTCAGCTGGAAGAGCATGGTGACGGCATCGCAGTTTTCCTGTGTTATTACCCGAATGAAGCTTTTACAGTTTGCAGGTTTTTTGTCTTATTGCATCAGCTGGGATTTTAAAGATCGAGGTTAGTTTTATCCAAATCTATATCTATTATCCAGAATGCCCAGTTCTTACCTCATCGATATCGCATGGTTTTTTTAGTAGTAGCGGTTTTGTTAGCAATCTCATGATCTTTCTAACCTTGTTCTAAATGACCTAAGAGTTGCCTTAAACACTTGCAGAATGCCTAAGGCTCCCTTCTTCAATTTCAAACTGCGAAGTCGGTGGTTCGGGTCACTTGCATGGATCACACCATAGGTTTAGTTGTCGCCCTGGTTACTCTCTCGTAGGCCGAGCCATTTTATACTGTACCAATGAGGGAAAGTGGAGTGCCAGTGTTCCCATATGTCTGAGAGGTATACATATCTATCACAAATTAAACTGGATAAATGGTGTGTGGTTACAACACCTATTGCAAGAATCGTTGACCAAGTTTTGTGATGCATTCTCCGAACCGCAAAACACGTGTTTTGTTGGGTTACAAGTTCTGGTGTTATGACAACAGCTAACACTAACGCTATTTTCGGTTGTAGAGTTGCAGGTTGAGATATTTTAAAAATTATCCCCTTAGTTAGGCTTGTGCTAAAATCCTTTATGGATGCAATTTACCAGAGCTACGTCAAGTTACATGAAGTCATCTTTTACGTAGAGAACTAAACCTTCAGCTATTAAGATGATTTAAAATCATGTTTCATAAGACAGAATAAACACAAACATCTCAATCACAAATCAAGAAGGAGCAAGGATAGAGCGGACTGCAAATATCAACTTCAAGAATTTAGATCACCATGGTCTAACGAGTTCCTTTGAAGGAATGACTTTCCACGTTATTTTCTCTTTCTTCAGAATGTCCTCATTTTCCATCATTCATACCAAATGGATTTGTTGGTGGGAGTGGGTCGGTGGAAGGATCTCAGTGCAGGTTCAGTTATAAGGAAGGGTACTCTCTTGTGGGGGCAAATACACTTCAAAATACTGATCAGGGAAACTGGAATGGCTCCGCTCCCACGTATCTCAAAGGTATGGACGCATGAGAGTTCGATTATTTTAAATTCCGCCTATGCAGCACTTTCTGTTAACTACATGGTAATCTAAGTGCCAAGTGGTGACCTGCTAGAGTTTTTGTATGACTTCATTTTCCCCCTTCTGGTCATGAACCCAGATTAATCTTAGTCCGATTGTTTGGCTTCACATCTCAGCTGGAAGAGCGTGGTAACATTATCGCAGTTTTCATGTTTTATTAC